TGTCAACCGAGAAACATTATTTCACAAGGTCTATCAATAAATGTTTTCCTAACTTTCTGTACACTTATGCTTATGTCACTAGTGATGGTATTCTACCAACTTGCTTCATGTTGGCTACTTTTCCTTCAATTTTCCAAACATCAGGATCTTGTCCAATGACTACTGACTTCTTATTGCAGTATATATCTAAGATATTTAAGGCTTACATTGTTAACTTCAAGAGTAGAATCTAATGTTTTGTTAAGAGTTACAGAATCATAAATGAAAATTTATATATCACCTATCGAATATCATCACCTCCTATTCCTGATAGCTGAGTCACCACATAGTCAGCCACATAGTTCCTAGTACTGCCTTAGCTTAAGCACTTTGTTTAAATGTCACCTTGACCTTAGATAAGTTTACCTCACCATTACTTCACCCTTATATATTCTCTGCTTTAGTTAAATTCTTGCTTTGTTTAACATACAGCTATATGTCATTAGATCATTTATATCTTTCCCTTGCCAAACCAGAAAGGGGCCCATCCTTGCTAAAAGAGAGAATGCTGAACATTGGGTTAGGGAAGGAGAAGCTAAAGAAACAATCTAGATAATCATATTTACTGATGAATGATGGAGGAGAAAGAGGAACTGTCGCATTTTAGGCCTCTTCCTGAGAATGACAAGCTACCCAGATGCTTAGAACACAGTGAAACATCTCACTGGCATAGCAGAATGAGTGCAACGAGAGGGAGATTTTCTACTTTATTCTAAACTCAGAAATGCTACACCCACAGGGCCCATTTGTTTTTAAAAATGTGATTGATTTTATATGAGACCAAACTGATGTAAAAACAAGTTAGCCCAGTATCCTGACCCTATCACAAGAAATGCAAACAATTATCAGAATGAAGGAGGGAATCTAATAAAACCTGTCCAAAGATTAAAAGGATTTTAACTATTTCCCAACAGAACAGAAACCACAAACTGTCTCAGCATCAGTTTTACAGGATATCTAAAGGATTTGTTACGAAGGACCTGATGTTTATGGAGCAAAGTTCTGGTTTAAAATTCACATGCCTGAGGAACTATTAGTCTTCTCCACTAAGATATGCATTTCTTATAGTCCTTTGCAAATAGGATGAAGGGCAAGGTAATTGGCTATCATTTTTAAACCCATGCTGAGGAAAGGAAAATGTCCAGAGGGTAGGCAGCCCTTGGCAGGCATCTTGTTTTTAACATCCTCTTTGAGTATCAGGGGTATTATTATTGTTGCTTTAAAACAGCTTATTGCAAGTTTCCATCAAAATATGCCTTGCAAGTTTCCATCAAGATAATTGTCTTTTACTTCAAGGTAACTTATTGTTTCTAATGTATACAGGCTTCCATTACTCATACCACTGATGTTCTTGCAGCTATTACTATCTCAGCCACAGCAATTTGTACTTTCCTTTAGTGCATATTTTCGGAATATGACATGTCTATGAGCCAGAACTAAAAGTTTCAAGACAGTGTAGCAGTTATATGACTACTACTTCTTCTCTCTTTCCGATACCACTGCTATACAGGTAGTCCTTAGCTTCCAACCAAAATGGAGCCCAAAATTTCTGTTGCTAAGCAAGACAAGTGTGTTTTGCCCCTTTTATTTATTTTTCTTGCCACAGTTGTTAAGTGAATCACTGCAGTTGTTAAGTTAGTAATACAGTACAGTTGTTAAGTGAATCTGGCTTCCCCACTGTCAGAAAGTTACAAAAGGTGATCACATGACCAGGGATACACCAATTGTCATAAACACATGCCAGTTGCCAAGTGTCTGAATTCTGATCACAAGACCCAGGAGATGCTGCAATGGTTGTAAGTGTGAAAAATGGTGATAAGTCATTTTTCAGTGCCGTTGCAACTTTGAATGGGCACTAAACAAATGGTTGTAAATTGTCATGTTGCATTGTTTGCAAGTCTCCCTTCCCCAAATCACCAGCAAACAAAAATGTCAGTCCCAATAATATCACACTGTACCTTGAATCATGCTATCTATTAAATAGGAAGAAAGACAGAAAATTATTTAAAATAACACTATGTTCACAATAATTTTGTTTCAACGGAACTCTGTATTTTATCTATCCCTCAGGTAAAAGAGAAGGTAGACTACGTAAGATCTAGCATCTCTTATTCCTAACATGGGAATTAACATTATTTATCTAATTCAAAACATGCCTAATATCTGATTAAACATTTTAAAATATAGCAAAATCTGCAAGCACAGATATTCAGAAATTTAAGGTTTTCCCTCAATTCCTTTTATATATTTCATTCATTCATTCATTATTTAGACTATTTTTTTAACCTGCTATGCTCATTGTCTTCAGTTTTTTAATGATCTATTTTCAATATCTTTCATATCATGCCATGTTTACCTTAGAGATCTAATAGTCTGAGGACAATATTCATCCTATTATAGATGGTATCAGATACATTTATTTCCCATCATCCATTTCAGAAATGTCTGCCTAAATCAACATTTCATGTGTCCAGCTTCCAGGTGTGGAAATGAAGACAGACCAGATACTTGGCTTGCCAGGAGCCAGCTGCCATATAGTTCCTAGATGGCAATTCAGAAAATCCGGAATAAGCATTACATGTGCAAGATTATATGTGCAGGATTACCAACAAGGAACTGTAGTTTGGTGCACAATAATGGTGATATTGAAAATCAAGAGATAATTGGTCTAAAGGAACTCTTCAGCTATTTGTTTGCATTCCACCTTTATTATTTTTACAAATAACTCAAGATGGCAAACGTATTCCAATATTCCTTGTCCTGAGGAGGGAGTTGAACTCATCGTTTCCCACTTTCTAGCCTGCCCGCTAGATCAAAGTAGAGTAATGGTAAGGAAAGGAAAACAAGTAAAACTGCCACAATGAGCTTTTAAATCTTTAAAATTATGAGAAATAACAATTACATGTAAAGCTGCGCAAAGGTTCTTCTGAACAGTGGAAAGAAAATTGTCACTGTTCAGAGTTGCTGCTTCCCCACAGCTTTAAGGATTCAGCATAAAAAGACTTGGCTCTTGGTCACCTGTTTTGAGGTATAGACACTGCTAGTGATACATCTTCAGTTTTTATTTGAGAAAGGCACTGATTCTTGGCTGCCATATTTTGAAGAAACAATGAGCTACAAACATGAAGGTATTCCTTAATCAAATAATTAGTTATGATTTTTAGAATACCTCTTAAAGAATTGTTTCAATTACATTTTGATAACATATTAGGAGGGAAATTAAGTACTCATTACCTTCCCAAGTATCTGTTTCTCTCAGCTAATGTGTCATTAGCAGGAGGAAAAACTTAACCTAATGTGTTTTACGTCTAGGACAGACAGTGCATGATTGATTAGCTAAGGGCACTGTGTGGAAATGCACTTCTGAAAGACAAGTTACTCTCTTAAGCAATTGCAATTGAAGAAAATGTTGCAGTTCTGGTTAGCCGAGTGCACTGTAGCCTGACTAGAAATCTGGGTCTGATGTTTATGGTACGCAGAACATTTTATCTAATCCTCTTATTTTGCAAAGTTAATAGGTTTCCTACAAAAACATTGAAATAAAAAAAAAAATCACATTAAGAAAAAAGTTGACCTTCAGAATTCCAACCTAATGCCTATGTAAATCCCTTATCGATACTATTCCTACCTTGTAGTCTTAAATACATGGGAGATTTCCCTTTGTTAGTCATGTTTTGGCTTTTGATGTACAGTATTACTCATCCACCTTAATCCAATGCTTTCCAGAACAAACTCAAATGTCATAACTATAGAAAAGTACTCTATGAGAACTAAGCATTTCATGCATGAAAGATGCTAAGCTGATGAATGTTTTGAAACACTCTTGGCTAGTGGTATATGGAATGCTAATTAGAAGAAGACCTTCAAGGTCCCTTCCAATTCTTGTTATTCAAGGCTGATTTCCTCTTAACCCGAGTTAAATTAGGTGATCAAAGTTAACGACTTTCTTATTTCCTCTCCCCAGTACAGTGGAACCTTGTTGGGTCATGACCGTAATCCATTCCAGGACTTTGGTTGCAACCTGATTTGGTCGTGACCAGAAGCCAGACTGACCGTGCATGCGTGGACAAAAATAAATTGGTGCGGAAGGGGAAATTGCCATGGCAGGGAAAATCGCCGCAGCTATATTTGATTGCCACCCAAGGAAATGTTTACAACCAGAGTGAAACATTTAGGGGACTTTTTGGTTGGCATCCGACTTGGTCATGGTCAGAAGACTTCGTGATCCAAGGTTCCACTGTACTGTACTTACGTTTATTGACAAAGTGATTTGCAAGCAAGTAAGAATTGTATAGAGATGGAAACAATCCCATGAACAGGAAAAATACTAGTTCCTATATGAACTAAATGAAAATATCCCCAATGACAGTTAGTCCGGTTGAGGCCAATTATCTTAATTCACTAAAAAAACAGACTATACGTCCACACTCTGCCAAAGGAAGAAACAGTGAGTTAAATTATTTAACTCTAAACAATTTCAGCTTTTCCAACAGTCCTACTTCTGTTTATCCTATACCAAAGACATCCCAATTTCTACTTCCTGTTTTGCTCCTCCATATTTCTACAGATGCCTAATGGGATTTATATTCTCCATTCTGTTCAATTCAAAGCATGATTCAAACATTCCCACTGTGCCAACTTATTCTAGTGACAGCAAATTTTATATCCATGAAATATTATAGAGTAAGTTCAGTTTGAAGTTTCAAACAAATCGTTTAGTATCTAAAATCTAGCCACCATATTGGAAGCAAAACCATTAATATGCTCCTTTCCTTCCTTACATATAAATATGTAAGTTGGGTTCCTTTAAAGATCCTTTTCAGATAGTATTTGCATTTTTTAAAAAGAATAAGTCAAATAATCTTTTTTGACCCGTTTTTGATGGTAAGAAGAAACTGCTGGTCCAATAAAAAATAAATCATGGACCCAGAATGTATTAGTTTAAGTGAAGAACTACATACCTAAAAAATCCTTTACATCCTTCACAAGTCATAGCGTTAAAATGAAAGCCGGTAGCTTTGTCTCCACAAACACCACAGATCCGGGGAATGTTCCTGTCAAAGTCGGTGGCTTTATCCGTAAAGGTTGGACACGGTGCCATCGGCTCCATTTCTATGATAGAGAAAATGTAAAAGTTACCAACTTCATCGTAGTAATTTCTGAGTAAAAATACTCAAAGTAAATTCACTCTGAGTAATATAGTGAGAGCACATATAGAATATATAAAAGCCAGCAACAAGTTCCCTGATCCCATTATCAGCCTGGTTATGAATATTTCCCCAAGCATAGTAACATGTTTCATTCAAAATATACAGGTCTTGACAAATACATTCTCGACTTTTAGAGTGCTAAAAACAGATCCTTCCAACAAGTTATATTTTGTCTGCTCATCTTCATATAAATGGCTGAATTACAGGAAGTAAATATTTGCAGAACCAAGGTATTTCTACATACCTTTTCAAGAGAAAACATCATGGTATAGTTCCACTATTTGTACCAAATTTGGGAGAAGGGGGTGTTTCAAACCAAAAAAGAGTGAAAATAATTTCTTTTTCATAGTGTGAGAGTTCACATTAAAAAGGAAACAAAATTGCAAGGAAAGGGAGTTGCTTTCTAGTTCTCACTTTACATGGAGGAGAACTACATCCCGGACATAAACTGTTTCAACTCCTTCCCTCAAAACGACGCTATAGAGCACTGCACACCAGAACAACTAGACACAAGGACAGTTTTTCCCCGAACACCATCACTCTGCTAAACAAATAATTCCCTCAACACTGTCCAACTATTACAAAGTCTGCATTACTATTATTGTTAATCTTCTCATCACTCCTTATCACCCGTCCCCTCCCACTTGTGATTGTAGGACTGTAACTTTGTCACTTGTATCCTTATGATTTATACTGACTGTTTCCTAGTATGATTTGATTGCTGGTTGTACCCTATGACTATCATTAAGTGTTGTACGTTATGATTCTTGATTCTTAACGAATGTACCTTTTCTTTATGTATACTGAGAGTATTTACACCAAGACAAATTCCTTGTGTGTCCAATCACACGTGTCCAATAAAAGAATTCTATTCTGTTCTATTCTATTCTATTCTATTCTATTCTATTCTATTCTACATATATGCTTCTCTTATTAATCTTAATACCATACATTGTATGAGAGAAACAAGTAACCCAACAGTTTATTCCTTCAAATGAGTCTATAGGGTCTCCTGTTCAAGCAGGAGGTTGGACTAGAAGACATCCACAGTCCCTTCCAACTCTGTTATTCTAATCTATGCTATGTTTTTATCTGCTCTCATTAGAAGTAGAATATTCTCAATGAATGGTAAAAATGGAGAGCCAAGAATTCAGGTTAGTTACAAAAAATCTCCAATGGTCTGCTTCTACATAAGAATTTTTTTGAAGCTGTTCTGCAACATGTACATGTGTATGGATGATCTCAGCTTAAAAAATATCTGTAAATGAAGCAATTGTCTTCAAATAACAGGTATTAGGAGCAAACCCACATATTAATATCTTGCAATTCTCTATGTTGAGTGCAGATGAAATTCCCTGTGCCCGTACTTATTTATTTTTGCAGCGTATGCCTTCATACATTATTGTCTCTTAATTATGGTATCGAGGGTCATGGGTAGAAAAGATGTTTTTCAAAGAGGCTGTGCAACCTATTTAATGTATTTGGATCTAAATGGCCTGCATTCCTTGTTTTAGAACATGATGGGAAGAGATTTTTTTAAAAGAAAGGATTTGCCCTTTTACCTGTATTTTGGGCCAAAGAGAAAAAGAACTTTGTTTTACTTTCCATTTTCCTCAAAGTTATATAAAATGGTTTGGGGAAATGGCACTCTCTATTTTCATTCTTTTCCTGCTAGCCCTCTCTTACTTTCTCATTGCCACTTCAGGGAAGCTAATTTATTTAAAATAGATGCTTATTTAGTTTTTGTTTAAAAATAAAAAGAGGTTGCTGCACAAATTTCTCTTTTTCATTTATTGGAAACTCTGACCTTTAAGTGTGCAAACACTAACTGTCCAAACAGAAAGTATTCTCATTAGTGATTACTATTACAGGGGTGGGATTCAAATTTCTTAACAACCGGTTCTGTGGATGTGGCCTAATTTGTGGGTGTGGCTTGGTGGTCATGCGACTGGCTGGGCATGGCTTGTTGGCTGGGCATGGCTTGGTGGTCATGTGAATGGCTGGGCATGGCTTGTATGTAAATATTATAAATATTTATGCAAATATTGATTTTTTTTTATAAAAAAAGAGCAACTTTTACCCAAAAGCAGGCAAAGCAGGCAGGCAGATTGAGTTGCTTACCGAATCACAGATTCATTCAGAAATCTATCTTTCTGCAATCGTCTACCTGAGTCTGTCACATAAAATTTGCTTGCAAGCAAACTCACAAATTGAACTCACAACACACTATGTATGTAAATATTGATTTTTTTTATAAGAAAAGAGCAACTTTTACCCAAAATCTGGCAGAGCAGGCAGGCAATTGAGTTGCTCACAGAATCACAGATTCACTTACAGATCTGTGTTTCTGTCATCTGCTACCTGAGTCTGCACTGAATAATAGAAGCTTCAGGCTCAGCTCTGCTTTTAGATTAGCTAGAAAGCAAGAAATCCCACGATTTCCTGCTTTCTAGCTAATCTAAATCTCCTGGCACAGCAGAACAGCTTATGGTCGGGAAAAAGAAAAAAGAAAAATAGCAACTTAGCAGGCAAGTTTGATGGCGTGCATGCCAGGTAAGGGGTGAGGGGGTGGGGCAGGGGGGGGTGGGGCCAGCTAGTGGTGCGATTTGCCGGTTCTCCAGCAGGTAGAATCCCACCCCTGGTGAGAGTGCGTTTTGCTCATGTGTGTAGACCATTTCCTAAAAACCTCAGCTGTACCACCCAGACAGCTGACAAGTGCTGCGTGCATGTGCGCAGTGCTTGAAAATCCTCTTCTTTCCTGCCTTTTCAACCTCAGCTGTGCTGCACAAAGCAGCTGAGGTTAAAAAAGCAGAAAATAAGGGACAGCTAAGAGCGCGGGTGGGCAGCTGAGCCAAACAGAACAGCAGACACCGAACTGGTTCGGTGTCTGCTACTCTTCAGAGCTACCAGTTCTATAGAACTGGGCCGAACCAGTAGCATCCCACCCCTGTACTATTAACTGCATGTGTAAATTTGTACTAACCAGTTACGAGTTGTTACTCTTTGTCATTTTCCATTAAAATCTCATGTATACCAGAAATGACATTCAGACAAGCAATTAATGTATTCATGAATGAAAATATCATAATGCTTTGCTCACAGAAAGATCGAGAAGGTGATCCTCTGAAAATTTGCTTTTACTACTGCCTACATTATTATATTCAGTTCGAAAGTAGAACTGTCATTTGGCACATTAGTTTATTAACTGGATAAAAATGATTTAAGAGAGTAAAAGGTAAAGGTTCCCCTTGCACATATGTGCTAGTCGTTTCCGGCTCTAGGAGGCGGTGCTCATCTCCATTACAAAGCCAAAAAGCCAGCGCTGTCCAAAGACATCTCCGTGGTCATGTGGCCGGCATGACTAAATGCCTAAGGTGCATGGAACACTGTTACCTTCCCACCAAAGGGGTCCCTATTTTTCTAATTGCATTTTTACATGCTTTTGAACTGCTAGGTTGGCAGAAGCTGGGACAAGTAACGGGAGTTCACTCCATTACACGGTGCTAGGGATTCAAACTGCCAAACTGCCAACCTTTCTGATCAACAAGCTCAGCATCTTAGCCACTGAGCCACCGTGTCCCCTTTAAGAGAGTAATGTCACTATTTAAAATCTCTTATTTTACTAAATGAAAGATAAGCATTTAAGCTTAAATGTCATTTGATCTGGCTATAAAACACTTAGAAAGTTGAAGAGTCTGAAATATTTTCTCATGTACCAGAACAGCTCCCACCAATGTTCCCTCTCTGGAAACCATTATTATCAACTGAAGTATTAGTTTATAACTTAGGATGGAGAAATTCACTTTCTTTCTTTAGTTATCAAATTTATATGGCCATCTTCACACAAGAAGTAACTCTGGGTGACATACAGGAAAAAAAAGTAAAAAACAATAAACATGTTAAATATAATCGCATTAAGAAAATTAAATACAAACACACACATACATATAGACACAGAAACACCCACCCATGCGATTTGATCAAGAAGATCTCACAGGTCCCCTGAGACCTCCAAGCCTGATGACAAAGCCATATTCTGAGGAATTTCCTGAAAATAAGGAGGGATTGAGCTGGCCTCACTTTGGGGACAGAGAATGTTCCATAAGGTGGGCACCATGGCAGAGAAGGCTGCTTCCTTGACCTCCAAAGGGTAGCTTCCTGAGAGATGAGACTTTTGCAAGGTTTCAGTGAAGCCTGTGGTTTCTCATCCAGACCCTCACAGCTTTCAGACACTGAGATAAGATGTCCACAGCATCACTTAATTCACCAGGGGTAGAGATGTATAATTGGGTATCATCAGCCTATTGATAATATCTCACCCCATGGCAATGGATGAGCTCACCCAGTGGCCTCATGTACATGTTGAATAGAGTGTTGCAGAGAGAGCACTGAAACATGTGGCACCCCACGCAATAGGGGCCAGGGACAGAATGTCCCCCTCCCTCCAATCATCATTGACTGGAATGAACCTTGGAGAAAGGAGGTGAACTAGCACAAAACAGTGGTGCCCATCCCCGATCTCCTGAACTCATCTGGAAAGATACCATAGTTGATGGTATAGAAAGCTGCAGAGAAGTCAAGTCAGGCAAGAAGGGGTGCACCACCTCCATCCTGCTCTCACCGGAGATAACCTAAAAGCATGACCAGTGTTGTTTCTGACCACCCAGGTTCATTCAAGGTTCTCGGAAGCTCTTGTACAATCACCCTCTCAGCTACCTTCCCCAGAAGTGTCATAAGATGCTGTTAATATTTAATATTTTTAGTAACTCAGGCTTGATTGAATTTTTCTTAACATCAAAACTGTATCTATAGAGCAGTGAATTGAATAATATCTATGAAAATAATTTGCACAAAGAATGAGGGGACAGGTGGTTCAACATGTTTATAAAGAACTTGAACACAGCCATGGAAGATTATTAATCAAATTAAGAATAACTGATTCTCTACAACATTGGAAAAAGTTTATTAATTGATTACAAATAATCGTATCAGCTGATATCAGTCAGCCCAATGTTCATGGTTTCAATACACTAGGCATTAGTGCTATGCTAGAATCACTATTCAACATTGCTCTGTATAGAAAGGTTTATAGCATGCAGCCCTGGACAGCTAGTAATGTGCCCCAGAACATCATAAACATTTTATGTGATTTATATTAACTATTTTATGTATTTTATATGTGGCCCAAGACAATTCTTCTTCATTCAATGTGGCCCACAACAGCCAAAAGGCTAGACACCCATGTTTGACAGTTTATTCTAGCTCAAGGGCTCAGATTATCTTTGTTAGCCTGGCATACCACCAATCTGTTGGGACTAGAGAATACCAAATCAGGAGCGCTGAAAGCATCCACTTTACTGCATATAATAATAGAAACATTTCATTTATTCATTTATTAATTCATTCATTCCCCAAAGTAACCGCACCAAACTTGATTGCAGGAAATACGACTTCAGCAATAGAGTGGTCAATGTCTGGAATACTCTACCCAACTCTGTAGTTTCTTCCCCAAACCCCAAAAACTTTAACCTTAGACTGTCTACTATTGACCTCACCCCTTTCCTAAGAGGTCTGTAGGGGGCGTGCATAAGCGCACCAACGTGCCTACCGTCCCTGTCCTATTGTTTCTCTTATTCTTCTTTTATTTTTCTTATATGTACCCATTTCATGTATTCACAACTATGTATACACTTATACTTATTATCTTGTAAACAATTGGCAAATCAAATAAATAAATAAAAATAAATATGCTGTAACCATTGCATTATTGCTGAAACCTTCAGGAACATTTAGGCTCTTATTCGAAAGGAGGTTAGCTCTGCCCTCTCTACCACTGCTCTCCACGTGCAGAGTGACTCTGCAGAGAACAGCCTTCTGTTTTCATGGAAAGTTTTTGGTATAAGTTAGGACTCGAAGATCCATGATCCTACATTGTGAGTAGACTAAGGAATCCTCTGCTGAAAACAATCCTTTGTGTGGAGAAAAATGCATTATAGTTGTGGTTCGTTATCTCTCCTTAGGTGAAAGACTGTCTTCTTTATCACATCAGAGGAGGGCATTCACTGAGACAAAGATAAATAATCAATAAGCATTTTCTGTGGATGAAGCTAGGCTTCACAATCCTTGTCCCCATCAACCTCTCAATTTCTCCCAATTTCATGGTTGCATTCTATCAGTAGACACACTCTAACATTAAAATTTTGGGTTCCACTATAAATGTCATGAAGTAAAAGAGAAAAAATATAGCTAATAATATCCAGTATGTGGACATATGTAGCAAAAATGCTTCCTTAGTATTTTATAATAGAAAGAAGTGTGCATAAAACATTTTTTGCTATTATAAGACAACAGATCAAGCAAGCAGAGAACCATCCATTGTCTTCACTTTGCAAGTGAAAGACTGACATCATAAAATAAGAATTGTTCATCTTAAGATTGCTTGGTGGGCTTATAACAGAGGTGAGATCAGAAATTGCTTTTCCTAATTCAGAACTCTATTTTTTTTTACTCACATAAGCACTTAAGTAATTTAAAAGTTGGCACCCTTGTACTTTAAAAAAAAGTTGGCCACAGCTGAAAAATAATCACATTTCATTCAAAATCAGCCCTACGTCAACCTCAAATTCCAATACCAAGAAAATACAAGCAAGAAACTTGGCTATTCAAACAGGATCAAAGATCAGGCACATTTTTCCACATGTGGTGGGCCTGCAATGCTGTAAAAAAGTATTGGAGACTGATCTAGACATGGGTGGAACAAATGGTGGGAGAGTGTATTTCATTTAAGCGGATTTTTTTTTAGGAATAATACCAGTAGGAAGGATTTAATTTATCTAATAGTACATGTATTGATGGCGGCTAGAATAATATATGCGCAATACTGGAAGAAGGAAAGCATACCACCAGAAACAGAGATAATAAGGAAAAGTATGGCCTGTGCAGAATTGGATAAGTTAACCCTAGAATTAAAAAACAAAGGGGAATCTGAGTACTATGAAACGTGGAATAAATTCTATCAGTGGTTGTATAGAAGGAGGCAAGGTTGGAACATAAGTAGCTATGATGATTAGAATAATTAGTAAACAATGTATCAAACAAGAGGATTGTAAATGGTGAAGTAAAATTTATATGTGTATAACAATTGTAATGCCAGAACGGATGCACTGTGTTGTATTATTATAATTAAATTAAAATAAAAAATAAAAAAAGAGCAGGCTTTTCAGAATGGCATCATAATTTCAAATACATACTATTTTTTTCCCTCTCTGGCAGAAATAGTATTATATTTTACTTCACAGGAACATTTTTTGCAAAAAAGTGAGGTACTTTACCAACATCCAGTTCATCTGGGATATTCTGTTGATATAATTCCCACGGGCTCTGAAACTCTGACATGGATCCACCTGCAATCCAAAATTATTATTAAAAAGTTAACATCCAAGAAATATCAAGGGAGTGTTCAAATCTCACCTCCTGCTTTGCATTTGGGAATTTAGTCTACCTTTTAACTCCAACCTTACTGACGTAAGCAACATACTTTAAAGAGTGAGGTGTGGCACTCAGCAAATAATTCACCACACCTAAACACCAGTCACAAAAAATAAGGTGTCACTTCAGCACGGCTTCCTGTAACATCACCTCAGAAATGTGAGAGATTATGCCAGTTCCAGTCATTGTAGGAAGGAGAACTGTGTTAGTCTATGGCAGTCAAAGATCAGGAGGAATCTGATAACACCTTTTCTAGCTGAAAATTTGTATTAAAAGACATGCTTTGGTAATCTGATGAAGTGAACTGCAATTTACCAAAGTAATGTGTGTCTTTTAATAAAACTTGTCAGTCAGAAAAAATGCTACCAGATATTTTTTGAGCACCTAAAGGAACATTTAAAAATTGTCAAAGATATTAAAAACCAGCTACATGAGGGTTTATTCTTTCCTAGAAGAAATACAGTTAAACAGAAGGGAAATGACAATGTAAAAAGAACAAACTTTCTTCATGGTTTATCTGACAAATATTTCTAAACAGGATTGTAAAAGCAGTGTAGTGGTTTTCTAGAGGTAGCACTTAAAGATTTCATTTATCATAGCCAACTCATTGTCAACAAGCTTATTTATCCAAAATGCTTAAACTGATACTTTGGAATCTGAAGAATTGTTCAGGTTCATGAATTTGCACTGTTGATGGTTAAACTAGTTAGTCCACCACAGATAGTACAATAGTACAATCTGCACAACACAGACCTTTAAATGCCACTTTAAAATTACCCTTTTTTAAAATTATATTTATTGAAGTTATGGGTAATTGTTTGAAAAATGCATGAGCTAACTCTTCTTAATTTTCAATGTAGCTTTTAGAATTTAATTCTATCATTCAGTATAATACAATAACTGAGTACTGTACAGTAGAGTAGTTAAGCACACTACAATCCAATCTAAGGTTGCTATCATTTATTATAGAGACATGATCCATACAGTCCACTGAAGGCAGATTTGACAAGCAAAGAAGATGAATACAGCTACTTTATGTTATTATACTGTACATATATTGATGAGTGTGACTCACTCATCATTCTTCTCAAGAATTAGACTGATCCTTTGTAAGCATATCATACACAAAAAAATAAAAATCCTATCTTTGTGCATATTTTGTGAAAGGTTGTATTACTGTTTCTTTAAAAAATACTTTGCAGCACCAGTTCCCACTCACAGCACTTCTCCAAATTCACAAAATCAGTCTCCTACTTTTGTAATTAAATCTTTTGGTTACTGGGTAATTTCAAATTACTGGCTAATTATAAAATATGAATATAGTCCTCCGGTTTCACAAGAACAGTGACTTCTTAGATACCACCAGATATATCTAAATTCAATGCCAAGGTTGGCCCTTGAGTAGATTAGCTTTTTGAAACGTTGAATCATGCCGATTCACTGGGTATAAGATAACTCAATTTAAGGTTAGGTTTTGCAAATTCCAGATCTTTATTCTAGCAGGAATATATAAACCAGTAATTAAATTAGTTAAGATGATTACAAGTCACTTCTATCTGTGAATGAGATTCATAGAGGAATAAAACAGAAATCTTCTAGCTAGCCCATTCCATCAATTTCAGATTTCAGTACTATGGCAGCATTACTACTAT